GAGAAAGAGAGAGAGAGAGAGAGAGAGAGAATTGTTGAATAACTTGACAAATTTACTTGTCTTGTGAAGAGCGAGTTATTAAAAAAAAAGGATAGCAAGTTAATAATTTATGGGGGAAGATACACAAAAGAGATTTCACATTTTTTTCAAATGAGGTCCAAAAAGCTGATGTTTATGCAAATAATCTTAAGTGAAAATTACACAACATAACATATTTTGAAGGTGTGAGTTAAAAATTAGCGGTTTTACGCAGTGTTGTAAGAATATATCAAAATTATTTAAATCAAATAAAATAGTCTGTCAATTTGGCCATTGTTTTTACTTGTTCATTGGATAGGAAATATCATTGAGCATATTAAATAAGATGATTTCCTTTTATTTTGTTTTCCGAATTCCTTTTATGTATAAAAAAGTCGTGCTCATCTCTATAAGATTTTCTTTTTTTTTTTCCATAAATTGCTTTAGCATCTGGTTGAGATGATTACAATAATAAATATGTAACTATAGTAATTATTCATACAACAATCATGTTCTAATCACTGAGATTTTGGATGACGAATGTCATGCTCGTGAAAGTAGATTCGCCTACGTTTAAATAAGTTGATTTCCTTTTATTTTGTTTTCCGAATTCCTTTTATGTATAAATAAGTCGTGCTCATCTCTATAAGATTTTTTTTTTTCTCCATAAATTGCTTTAGCATCTGGTTGAGATGATTACAATAATAAATATGTAACTATAGTAATTATTCATACAACAATCATGTTCTAATCACTGAGATTTTGGATGACGAATGTCATGCTCGTGAAAGTAGATTCGCCTACGTTTCAACATCCTTCTTCGATTTGGGGGATATTTTTAATAAATTTAGGGAGTAATTCACAAAACTTAAAAGCTTAAATGGCAACTTTCCAATTTACTAACAATTTTCGGGGCAAAAGTAAAAAATCCAAAAAAAAAAAAAATCATAAGGCACTGAAAAGGCAAATGTTTTCAGCATGTTGTTACACGTTTATGGAATCAATTATCATTGAACTACACGTTTAAGTATCAAACATAGCCTTTTGCATCCCGCCAAGGCAAAACATATATAGTAGGAAGAATATTGTAGTAATCCAATTTTAAGTACTTTCAATCAGCTTTTTCTGTTTTTCTTTTCTTTTTTTGGCAAAAAAAAAAAAAAAAAGAAAAAAGAAGAAGAAGTGATGTTTCAATAGTCATATAACAAGCAACGAATATGTGCTTTGCTCAAATGTCAAAAACAATTTAAAAAATTTTTGTAGTCTTATATTTGCCCATTTATGTATTTGCCTTGTCTACTTGATACCCATTTCTAACTTGTCTTGATTTTCTTTTTACCAAATAAAATTTTCCATTAAAGAGAAATCATCAATGGAGCTAGAATTAGGACTCAAAATCACCAAAACTAGGGATGATCTCACTTCCACCACCAAGTTTCGAATGGCCAAAGACTCGTCAGGTCCTATTTTCATGTCTAGAGAAACTGAAAGCAAGTTCATCCTCACCGCCCATCTCAAAGGTCAGTTTATTTTTATTATAATTTTTTAAAAATAAAAAAAAAAGTGTTATCACGTTGCATTTGTATAATAGCATAATAACTAAAAACTTGTAGAGTGGTATATTATACCATCATTCTAAATACTATATATGCCGTACAATTTGTTATATGGTACACGTTATATAGTACGTTACAATAAAGTAGTAAGTTGTATATTGTTGTTTAATATTTCTCAAACTAAACTTTGGTGGGAAATAATGAATTAGAAGTGAATTCAAAAAAAAAAAATGCAGGTTTTGGGAGAGAGCATATTCGGATCAAGATAAATGAAGATGGGACAGAGATTGCTATTACTTGGGAGAAGCCAGTTCAGGAGATGGTGATGTCAGGGTGGATGATGCACAAGAAGGAGGTGGAGTTGAAGGGATTCATTAGGGTCTTTCGGATACCGGCCGGCGTTGTTTTGGATCCGATTACGGCCAACTTTAACGAGCAAGAATCGGTTTTGACAATCTTAATGCCGAAATCGGTGAAAGGAATTCGAGGGGTTGGGATTGAGGAAGTGAAAGAAGAAGAAGAAGAAGAAGAAGAGGTTGCTGCTTCAGAGAGAAATGATGAGATTGGTAGTACAAATGAGGTTCCTAAAAGTGTTGGGAAAGTGGAGGAAAGTGGTCAAATACTGCAAAAGAAGGAGGGTGATAAAGAGAAGTCCGAGAAAGAAACTTCAGCTCACAAGCAGGCTAAAGAAAAGGAGATTGTTAATGGAGACAAAGTTAAAGAACAAAAGATCAAAACTAGGCATGAAAATCGCGGGTCTCCAGGAGAGTCTTCTAAGAAAGGAGCACCAAATAAAGGTGAAGAAGAGCCAAAGAATATTGCAAACAAGGAAGGATCTGATTCAATTGATAAAGAGAAAGTTGATGAAGAGAAATTGAAAAGAACACAAGAAGTCACTAATAAGCCGCCTCAAGAAGAGAAAGTAAGTACAGCTCAAAAGGAAGAAGTTGATCAAACAACAAAACAGACATATAATATGGAAGCTTCTACTAAACCAGAGCGAAAAGAGGCTGAAATGAAGGTGCAGATTAAGAGTCAGGAAATTCGAGAAGAAGATAATAATGCTTTTGGAACGTTGGAGAGAAGTGACACTAAAGAAGGGATTATGGAATTAGAAGGCGAAGTCTTGAAAGAATTGGAAGCAATAGCATGGTCGAAAAAATCGCAGCCTGGAAAGGAAGATCATCATGAATACGAAGAAGCTCGCGACGGAGAAGAGAATCCTGAAAAGGAAGATGAAGTTCAAGAGGAAGAACCAAAAGAAGATCCTGATGAAGAAAAGGAAGAAAATGAGCACAATTCTCCTCATGTGGAAGAAAAGAATGATACAACTGGAGAAGTGTCTCAAGGGAAGAACAAGCCTTCTTCAAGAAAGATCAAGCTTTGTACTCCTTGTGTCATTGCAGGTTCTGCTATCATTGCGTCTCTTGTAGTGTTTGCAATCCATTGGATTAGATCCAAAAAGAAAGAGGTTCGTTGAGCTTTACCAGTTTTTTTTTTTTTTTTTCTTTTTTCGTTTTTTTTAATTATTTTTAATTATTTTTGTAATCTGTCATTATTGATCATTTGATTGTGAGATTGTCAATTTAGTGCCAAGACCACTACGAGGAAATGACTCCCTAAATTTATGTCATCTGGAGAAAAAATTTTAAAGGCTTTTGGAATTGTTTTATCTGGTTTTCTTCTTTCTTCACATTTTGTTATTTCGAGTAGACCATTACTTGATTAATCACATGATTATTCTCCTCAAAACTATATATCCAAAGCCAGATTGTTTATCATGTGAATGCTAACATCTTTTATTAAGAATTTGAGGCACTAATTATTTAGTATTGAGAGCAATAAAATTATTAAAATAAAAAAGTACTTATTGAGAAATATATATCGAAATAACAATTATAATAACTAGTATAATGTTTGTTAAATAAAAAACAATAATAACTAGTCATATGTTGCATCAAACTTATTGAATGGGCCAGTGGTAGAAATATTCCAAAAGCCCAGTTTCTCCATTGAGCCCATATATGCCTTCCACAGAGATGAGCCATTCACACCGAGTTTCACATCTAACTCGGTCCCTCCCAAAAGAGTAAGCATCAAACTGGTAATTCCCCACACTTTCCCACCCCAAAACGCAGTAAAACAGTGTCGTTCCCCCAGCGTTGACCCCAAACTCCCAGCTAAATGCATCGTCGTATGGGACTGTTCTCAGGCCCAGATCGTCGTCTTTGGACTGGCAATGCACTGTCATGTTCTTCCCACTTCCCAACCTGTTCTTGATGCTTGCTTCTACTTTGCCTGAAACGACAACAAGTGGACCCCACAAGCTCATCATCATCATCATCATTACAAGGAGAATCACAGCTTCCATTTTCATGATCTCTTCTTTTCCTTTTTCCTAATTCTTATCTTTCCTTCTCTAGATATGTGCTTATTCTTTTGGTGATGTATAAGAGAAGAATGTCACATGAAAAAAATTATATGGCTAGGTACTTATATATAATGTGACTAGTAATTCAGCAGTATATTAGAATATGCCTACATTTGTAAGGCTTTACACTTCAAGAAAAGTTTGTGAAATAATCAACCGTTGAGTCATATTGCGTCTGTCTGATATCCACATATAATATCTATCATGACGCGGTGGTCTCATATTAAGATTTTATTTATTTTTTATTATACATATTAGTTCCTATTGTTTTTTTAATGTATTCCGTCAAAGTAATTTGATGGATGAAAGTGTGGAGATTAATAGATAATTACCTAGTATTCTCCGAGAACCTTTGCATAAACATTGCTGAGCTGCGAGGCAGGAGCTTCTTGGAGTTTCCCCGATAGATAAGCATTGCCATTTTTCTTTGGAACTTCTGAATCATTGGATTTACTTTTTCGGCATGTTCGAAGAATCAAATAGAAATTATAAACCAGATTATTAAGTTACTATATTATTTTGACTATCAAAAAAACATATTATACTAAAGAATAGAGCTTGATCTTTGTGTCATGTCCAAATAGGTATTCATTTAACTTGCAATGATACAAACATTTACAAAACTTTTAAAGCCGTGGCGATTATTTCCTAGCATTTTGAACCTTACTCTCTTCTGCTTCATAAAATATTTCTTCTCGTGACCAACGTCATCAAAGTTGACAAGATAAAGACAAACTTGATTGCATTTTCATCTCCATGAAAATTGTGAGTTTTTTATGACCGCCACTTTTTTTCCCCTTCTTTTCTTTAAAAAAAAAATAATAAAATTATCGTACAATAACTAAGCAGAAAAGTTACACAACAGATAGCCAAAACACCAAGAAATAGTCTCAGAACTTCTAAACGAGAAGAACCAAAAGAATAATATCCTCAAGAAATGCAGCCTCCTTCCCGTGGAGAGTGCATTCTCTAAATTAGCTTCCCCATTGTTGAGAGTCAAATTACCCTTCATCTGCATAGCAATGGCATGAAGTATCACACAATAATATTTCAAGAATAAAAATGGTATGTTCCACTACAATAATATTTCTCGTACTCACTTCAAATCAGAGAAGTATCATTTTTAGAGAATTCCAGTCTAATCCAATAATGTTAAATCATACTCTTTCTATCATTCTTTTTGTCACTTTTCTACATTCGTTGATAAAAAGTAATTTATATGGTAAAAAATCTTTATTTATGTGGAAAAAAATCTTTTTATCAATCGTAAAAAGAAAATTTACGTGAAAAAATCTGTTACGTCACAAATGAAATATTTACACTTTAAACTGCTACTTACTTCAAATAATTTTAAAATCTACTATTTATTTAATTTAATTTTATAAATTTACCATTTACTACATTCTCCATTCAATCTTTTTTATTTTTCTTTTTGGGATGTTTTCGCAATATCAGAATAGAAATTCTATTAACTTAGGCCCTTCTTGTTTCTCTTTTTATTTTTTTTATTATTATTTTTTTTTGTTTTTTGTTTTTGTTTTTTGTTTTTTTTTTTTGTTTTTTTTTTGTTTTTTTTTTTTTTTTGCATTTTCGAATAGAAAGTCTCTGTTGACTGTAACTTAAATTTAGGACTCTCTTTCTAAAAAAAAAAAAAAAAGTTAGGACTCTTATAGTTCCTAACAACAGCCTCTTCCATCTTAAGGGTAGGCATGTAAAATGTTAAATGGTCACCCCAAGTCATTTTATATTAATGCCACCAAACTAAATTATTTGTTCAAACTTTGAGGATAAGACAATGACGGATTGCCCAAAAGGTTCCCTATGACCTGCAATCCTAATAACAAAAGTTAGTGGGTGTTAATTGCTTTTCAAAAAATAAAATTAAAAACTAAAGTTGAAGGAAGATGGCTAATTGGTTGAAGCATACTTGTTTTTGACCTATAACTTTCTATCAAAAGTAGAGAATGAATTAATGGCTAAGGAGATGTAATCCAACGTTTATTATAAGGAAGAATTTCCTTTCCAAATTATTGAAGCCGATCATACCACCTTAGACTAGACACATTTGTAAAACTGTGATATAGAAAGTGGACCCTCACATGAACTAAGATGGAGCACATCACTCAAGAAATGACAATTTTGGCCCTGTTTATTTCCGTTTTCATTTTCATTTTTCACATTATTCGAGACTAAAAAATGAAAACGGAAACATAAAATGCGTTTGGCCTAAAAATTTTTTAAAAACGAAAACAAAATCGTTTGTCTTTTGTGAAAAATTGAAAACGAAAAAAATGTGTTTTCATTTTCTCGTTTTCGTTTTCTGAAAACGGACTTCATTTTCTTTTTTCATTTTCTTCTCTCTCTTTTCTGAAACCGTTTTTGTCTTATATAATGATGTTTATTTAATAATATTATTTATTTAATATATTATTATTTAATATATTTAATAATATTATTTATTTAATATATTATTATTTTAAATATTATTATTTTAAATATTATTACATGTTTTTAAAAATTAAACCATCAAACGCAATTTCAGTTTTTTTTAGAACCAATTCCAAACACATCCTTTATGTTTTGATCTGCTTATAGAAGAAAATGTTCTCTTTTGGCAAATAAAGTACCAATTATATGTTTTACAGAAATCAAAAGATATTGGCCCTAACTCAACTTAGCAAAATCAGCTTGCTAGAGGAGGATTGTCCTCACCTTATTAAGTAGATCATGTCAATATCCTCAGCCAATGTCCCCCTCAAGCACAACGTGAACCATGTCAAACCGCTGTGAATAAGTCGATATTGAGGGACCCAACATTGCAAAACTAGATATGCTCTGATACCATTTTACAGAAATTAAATGATATTGGGTCTAACTCAACCTAACAAAATCGGCTTGCTAGAGGATGATTACCCTCACCTTATTAAGTGGATCATGTCAATATTTTTAGTTAATGTGGGGATTCTAATAATATGCAATAATACCCTTTCCAAATTCAATGTTAAACAATCCTTTTTGGTACACGTGTGGTGGAGATTAATTAGGGAAGGATAATCCTTTAAACAATCCTTTTCCATATTTTTAAAGGATTATGGAAGGATAATCTTCTTCGGTAGCTGCTAAGTCGATCGGCTGATCTTCTTCAGAGTAATATATGTGTATAAGAGATTCCTCCTACGTGCTCAATTAAACAAGCTAAAGATGTGTTCAAGCAATAAATAAATAAATGGAAATGACAAAAAAAAAAGGTAAAAATAAAAATAGGAAAAGTAGTGTATGGTTCGTTAGATGATTGTGTGACAAGAAATACTTAATTAAACTGATGATATAAAATAAGGATAATAAGAAAAACATTTCCTGCGTTTTGTCAAAATGCTCCGTGAATGTGATACTATATATTTTCAAGAATATTGCACCTATTTCTTACATTTCACAAATATGTTATAATTTCCCCCGCTGTGTAACTATGTTATACAAATTGTATTAAAATACTCCCCTCGGAGAGATAACAAATTGTATTGAAAAGATCCCTCTTAGGGAGTTTTTTAACATAATTTGTAAAAATATAGAATGGAATGCAACATTTCGATGAAAGACGAGTGAGGTTTTTATATTTATCTTTTTAGAATATATCAGTATTAAATGGAACGCTTTCGAAGTCAATTAAGAAAACCGAGATTCTTATTATATTTTATCAGTTGCGAAAAGACATTTTCATATTAGTTCTTAACTTACACTAAATTAATTTCGTTTTAAGCCAACAAAAATGTAAATAGAGCTAAAAACTTCCCATCATTGTCTCACTGAGATCTGTTGGAAAAGGTGTTTCTGTGGAGGAAAAAAGAGTGAAAAAAATATTAGTAGATTTTTATAATAGGACTTAAAAAAATAAATTATAAGTAAGTTTCTGTTTTTGAGCCGGCAAATTGATATTAAAATTTATTTATTATACATATTTTTTTATTTTAATATAATTTTTTTAATTAAATTTAACAGTAAAAAATGTTCACGACCTATATGAGAATTTGCTGAAACATTAAGGGAAATAAAGAAAGGAAAAAAAAAATTATATATGGAAAGTCAAAATGTTTGGGATGCCGCTGCAATGGTTTGGAAATGATGATTATTGTCTTGAAGTGAAGCATGCTTTCAGTTGAGTTTTTGTTGTCATTTCTTTTGACTAAGGCTTACAGAATTTCTACATCTATTAAAATAAAACAACATACAATACTCCTCAGTTTGGTTCTTGAGTTTAAGTTAATAATTTTGATTTTAAATTTAAATTTTGTGAGATAATCTATTAGTGGAAACTTTTTTATTCAAAATTTTTTTTAAGATAACAGAATCATAATTATGAATTTAAGTTAGTAAACTAAACGTACCTAAATTTTAAACATTGGTTGATCCAATTAGTTTTTAACATCGCTCAAACACAAAATCGACGTCTATAGAGAAACATCTATACTATTTTGCATAGTAATGTGCTGAAATTGTACCTCAGAATTCCTTGCATCTATAGTTTATATTGTTAGATTTTAGGCGTGCATATATACATATATAATAATAATTATATATTATATGCTATCATATTAAATTAAGCCTATTTAAAGTGATCAAATAAGGTTTTAGGTAATTTGGGCTTTAATGCATCTAATAAGTGTGGACCTAATATGTGTAGAGACCAAATTGTTATTTCTTATTTTATGATGGTTCAAATTAGAAATAATGAAAAGTTGACTTCTATATAAATGGTTGTGGTCCCCAAATTATATGTATGAAACTTTTTAGACATCCCATCATTAAAAAAGTGAGAATTCCTTCTCAAGGCATTCATACTGAATAATTTGGAAGATCAAGAACCAAAAGATTGATAAAAAATCACAAGATTCAAGAAACAATCTGTTCTTATGGATTCAGGTACGCTTCCGCTTAAGTATTTTCTTCTTAATGATTTAACATGGTAGATCTTAGTGTGATTAAGGATTTCATAAATAAAGAATTAATTTCCATCAGAATTCCTTGCATCTATAGTTTATATCACTCTCACCAACATCCAATTGTAATGTCAACTTAACTCTCCCAATTCAATTGTTACATTCCTTGATTGATATCATAACTCTTTTTGGTCATAGAATAGAACTATGGTGCTACGTAAGGTCCATTCCAATTTAACAATTAAGGACCGAGCAGTACTTGTACTGTATCTGTAGTGTATAATTCACAATTATTTGATCCAAAATATGGGCAAATTGATAAGAATTGCCCTCCCATGTCTTTTGCGATAGTAACCACAGCTGAAACCGTGTATACATGAGGAAATTTCAAAATACAAGTGAAACAAAATGCAAGTAAATGGTAAGTGATTAAGAACACATTTTCATGGTCAAGAAGTTGGAGAGTTGAATTGAGCAATTATATATATATATATATATATATATGTATGTATACATATGTATCCGGTTACTAGAACACTGAATACAAATTCAATCCTCGTTGCATCATCTTCGAATAAGTTTATGGACCTCAATTAGGAGGATAAGTCATGGTTAAACTTGTTGAGAAAAGTGCGTGTGTGTTGTCCCATGTAGATGAAAATATAAAATGATTTATATATATGAAATGATCTAAGACTTAATAAATTAATCTTTTAGGTCAAATTAAGCTCTTAAAAATGTTGGACCAATTACACGTAGCGTGTCCACCCCATGAAATAAAAGAATTAACTGTTCTCCAAGGCATAAATTAGGGGGCTTTTGTATGACAAAATCTTTTTTATGCTAGTCCGTGGGCTACCCTATTTTCTGTATCAAAATTAATTAATAAACAAGTTGACAAAATCTAATACAAATACCATGGTCCGTCTAGAATGCTTCGAGAGAAGATGCAGCATTTTAGTTTTGATCAAAATGACATTAAAATCAACAAAAGAGGCTTTATATGGAAATGAATTTCAAGAGTCAATCACAAACCCCTTCATTTCAGTAGCAAAAAATAAAAAAAATAAAAACCTTCATTCATGTGAATGTGACGCTTGACCACATGGATGGTTACTTTGAAAGATGAAATTCGGGAATGGCTTCTTTGCGGTCAAAATGAGCAAAGTCCACGCAGCAATAAGCCAACTGAACTGCAGAAAAATTCCTTGAATCTAATAGAGTGAGGACAAAATTTCATAGCTGTCCTCTTCCACGTGGAACAAATGGATTCCGGATACGACACTTCTTGGCTGACGACACTTCTTGGCTGAATGTAAATAAGCTGCTTTTATGCAATGTTTATACTTTACTTTTATGCAACGTTAATACTTTACTTTTGAAACTTTTATGACATACAAATTATATTGGTACTTAATTAGGCCAGTATGTTTGTTAAAAATCTTGCTAAATGGTAATAGATAATCCAAATTGTTTCCAAACTTTCCAATTGGGAGTATACAATCTTAAGCTATGTGACTCTTGTGAATCAAAAGAGTTAAAAGATGTACCAATTTGTATTGAGAAACTCTTCATTTTGTCTATTATGACACAACATTTCTCAGCTAATATATAGAGATTCACAATCAGACATTATGCCATGTGGGCAAGGAGGATACTATATGGCCATTCACATAAAAATCAGATAAATCATGAAGACAGCACAATGCCCAGATGTTTTGATTCATTATACAACAAAAACATCAAAGCCAAGAATACAAAAAAAAAAAAAAAAAAAAAAAAAAAAAAGGGAAAAAAAAAAAAAAAACAGAGCATATATCCATCTCTAAATCTCTTTACACAATATATGGTGAATAAATACAACAACAGAGCATATATCCATCTCTAAATCTCTTTACACAATATATGGTGAATAAATACAAAGAAACTTGTCTTTCTTACACTCTTTTTCATTCCTCGTTATTCATTCCTTGATTGGCAACCTCTTTCTGTTCTTGTTTCCTTTTCCATGATCCTCCTGACATTGTCAAACATTGACAACAAATCCATATTATCAATTCCCACTACTCTGAATAATTTGCTCTTCCCAAAGAGTCGAGCCCTTCTGTTCTGCTTCTCACAATCCTATGGAAAACATCTCTAACTTGTCTCTCCAAAGGGTCCAAACCATACCTTAATGCCTCAACAATGATGGAGAGCTCTTGAACTCTCTGTCTGACCTCCTTCTCCTTCTCCTCCGAAATCGGAAACGAAACCGAATCGCACAATTCGCTCATAACCCGCGAGCATTTCTCGATCTCGTGAATCTCCTTCAAAAGCCCGCAGGAGTTTCTCCGGTCCCTCCTTTTGGACTCCTCCATGATCTTCTCGTGCAGCGCCATCATCGGCCCGGCCCACGGAAGCTGCCGGGGGACCGAGAAGTGGACCTGCAGGCCGCGGTCCTGGCACGGGATGGCCGCCACCAACGCCCACATTGCAAAAAGCAAGACGGAATTAGCAGCGTAGACCGCGACAGCAAGGCCACTCGTTGCCACTACCTCGTTGGCCCGAGGCGCGGCCACGTTGGTGGCGATCGCCTGCAGCTGCCGCGCCGCGGACCACGACCGCGACACGCTCCACGAAAGCGACCGAAAATGCCCCAAATTCCGGGCATTACTGTTCGGGTTCCGCCCGAAGGAGCGATTGCGGTGCGAGGTCACCGCGGCGGCGGAATCCTTATCGTCAAGCATTCCGATCGCCAAATCGATAAGCGCCTTCTTCGCCCTCCTGAATTGGCCTTCCCCGAGGCTCCGTTGATTCCCGAGAGCGACATGAACAATCTCAAGAAGCTTCTGCCATTGCCGGATCTGCTCAATTCCGTCTCTAATGGCGTTACAAACATCCAAACCCTTTACGCTCCGCTCGAAATAATCCGAAACCATCCGATCCAAGGGAGCCCTAAAAACCATGGACCTGTGATTGAAGAGAATTGAGCGGAAATCGTCCTGGCAGGAGAGGAAGGCGTCGAGAAGCTTCTGAATCCACGGAACCGACAAAAGGTCGTCGGAACACAAATCGAGAAAGCGGTCGGCGAGGTTCCGATGAAAAGACTCCAACTCGGCTTCCAAGGAATCGGCGTGGCCATCCATCGGACGCCCGAAGTGAGAAAATCCCGTCGCGGAATAGTCCGTCGTCGCGGGCATTTTTTTTTTTATTTTTTTATTTTACATTTAACGGAAACAATTACGGAAGAAAATTTGGATTTTGGACAACTCAAAAGGAATCAATGAATGAATGTTGAGACTTGAAAGGAATGGATTTTTTTTTTAATTTAATTTTTTGTTTTTTGGGGTGTTTGGGGGAAACCCTAATGGAGGGAGAGAGATTTATATTGGGGGAGAATTACGCCGCGTTTGTTTTTTTGGTTTTTTTTTTTTTTTTTTTTTTTTAAC